GTTCTGACCCACGAAAGCTTATGCTCCCAGTACTTCTGGTAGTCTCAAAGGGGCCACAGGACCCTCTGTTGCTTTTTGCAAGGGTAATTGACATCCTTCTACATCTCTGTGTGTGTTTCTTTTACTCTCTGCCTGGTACTTTCAAAACTACATTACAGCCTTAATTGGATGAACACTTAAAAACAGATTTTCTTCTCTATTGGGTTATTAAAGGTCCCTACATAACAACACACGTTTCTCCCAATATTCTTGCCCAAATTTTTCCTTAACCTCTTCTGTTGTGAAGTGTGCTAAATTGATTGATTGAAAGACACAGCGAACCTCAGAGTTACGTGCACCAGAGTTATGAACTAACTGGTCAACCACACACCTCATTTGGAACTGGAAGTACACAATCAGGCAGAAGCAGAGACAAATATATATAAATAAATAAAGCAAATGTGGTACAGTACTGTGTTAAACATGAACTACTAAAAATAAAGGGTAAAGTTTTTTTTTTTTTTTAAAGATTTGACAAGGTAAATAAACTGTTTCTGTGCTTGTTTCATTTAAATTAAGATGGTTAAAAGCAGCATTTTTCTTCTGCATATTAAAGTTTCAAACTGTTCAGTTGTAAACTTGCGAAAGAACAACCATAATGTTTTGTTCAGAGTTATGAACATTTCAGAGTTACAAACAACCTCAATTCCTGAGGTATTCGTAACTCTGAGGTTCTACTGCAGGTGCATTTCATATACGTATACACATATAAAACATATATCTTTATCAGCTATACATAGTAAAATGTTATTAATGAGTTACATTGAAGAGCAAGAACTTGTAATAGAAGCGGGCAGATTACAACTATGTATAACATGCAACAATGCAAACTGAAACTTCCTCATTTTGTTTAAAATAAAATTCCTTGCAACAACATTTTTTTTCTTAACTATGAAAGTTGTTACGGTTGCCACATGAACTATAATTACACAAGAAGCAATTTAGAGGCATCAAAAGTGAGAGAGAAAACATAATTATCCAAACATTATAGAAGAGTTAATGATCAAGTATCTCACCTATATCGAAAGCAGGCAAGCTGTCCGATCTGTTCCTGGGGAGATCTTCTTCATTAGAAAAAGAAGACACATGTTATCCCCCTTGTTTTAAATGGAGATTTAAAAAAATGTATTCACAGATCTGTCTTCTATAATTTATTCTTTTGATTTCACTGGATCACTTATCTCAGATTATTGTACTAAGTTACATTTAGTGTAAGATCTCCCCCTCTCTCTGAAGCTACAATAGAACATTCCAAGAGCTTTCCATCTGACATATTTGCTCTCCTAGGAGGAAGCAGAAAAGGAGGAAAAATTCCTTCATCAATCTTGGGGGATTCTACAGTGCCCATCACGATAGTATCTAAGTGCTTCAGCAGTCAAAGATCCAACTGTGCCAGCATCAATGGCTATTGTGCTAGCATGTGTGTTGGCCCAACTGTAACTCTGAAACTGAAACTATTACTAAACACAATCGTCTAATTCCAGCCCTCATAGTTGCATTAATTGTCTCTTTTATAGCTGCAATTGTCATGGCCTAATGGTACCACAGAGAATGAGGGTCTAAGGGCTGAATGCTGACCCACTTCTGGATCCACTAAACACAGGATAACTGTTACCTTCATACGCACCAGGGGGCCTCAAGAAGAGAACTTGGTCTATTCAGTATCTTGTTTTCATACTCAGGATCATTCAGTAAGAGTCAGGAATCTGACCAAGTTTCACATTACTGATATTTCTGCCCATTGTTTCTCTCTCTTGCCCACCCTCTTTTCTGTTTCTCTCCCTCTTCCCTCTCTTTGTGTCTTTTCCTGTCTGCATTTCCCTCTCAAAAAGCTCCCATTTTCCATTCCTTCCTGTAGATTTTATTTCCTTCCCTCTTGCATGTGCTAAAATAATCAGTAATGAAATAATTCTTACATTTAAACTGTTATAAGTAGTTTTAAGCATCAACACCCAATTAGATTAATTGGGGGTAGGCAGATCACTCCTTTAAGTCATTGTTTTGAGCTGTCTGCAGATTCAAAGACAGTTTTGTAATGGTTTATGATTATATCCTGTCTACACTATGAAATTTTTATTTGCATATCTATATTGATGAAGTTATGCCAGTGCAAGTCTCTAATGTAGACACACTGCACTGGGATCGGGGCAATTTACTGGTGTCAGCCCCAGCTTGTGCTGGTGCAGCATGCCTAAATTAGGGACTTGTAGTGGTATAACTATACTGATGTGAATTTCCTTAATGTAGATGTTACACTGACAAAACCCCAGCCATCAGGATTGAACTTGGGACCTCTGGAACTAAATACATGAGCCTCTACTGCATGAGCTAAAAGCCAGACTCATTAATCTGTTTTTCTAAGTGGTCTCAGTGCTACCAGATAGGACAGCACACCACACCCAGGAGGTGCGTGGGTTACATAGACAGGACCTCAGTTCGTATGCACAAGGCATATCTTATTATTTGGGATGAGTTTCAGTTGATATGTTTTATTTGCATTTTGATTTTCATAACAAAATCAGAAATGGGAAGAAAAACAGTAGCCACTGGAGTTTGTACATAGTGATGTGCCATCACAGGAGTATAACCTTTTATAACCCTGACCTATGGTATATGACTGGGGCTATGAAATAAAAAAGAAAAATAGCCTTGCCACAGCACAATGGGTGTCACTCTCTTATTACTCCCAAGACCAAAGCCAGTAGTATCAAAGAAGCATTGGCCTGAGTGCTCGCTGTACTCCACTTATATTTAATTGAATATATCATCACTGCTCAGAGTGTGTGGGAGTGAGGTCAAGGATTAAACATGGACAAATCTACATATACAGGGGGACATTTCCAAACCTCCGAACAATTATTTGTCTCTTCAGTTATCAATAGGAAATTTGCAGCTAAAACCCATTAATCACATTGAGAATACATCATGATAAATATAATTGCACACTTCAAGGATCAAACACTTCTTCCAAATATTAATACATTAAATCCTTCAATATTACTTTTGAGTAAACACTATATTGACATTTCTTTTCCATTTGCCCTTCCTTAACATTTGAGGTCAATGAAGGGGAAATGGCATAGTTAAAGGGCAAAAAGCACCTCTATTTTTAGTAGTGGACTGCTATAAGGGAGGGGTAGGACTTTCTAGCAGAATCCTGTATGAAAATAAAATGCATGCTCATTTTAAGCTCCAAAAACCTAGGAGGGAAAAAATTAAGATAGACTGACTCAAAAATAGACTAAAACTGAAATTTATTACTTCCCATACCAGCTCAGACTAGTTATCCATCCAGTCAAGCATCCCACTTCCAGCAGTTATTAAAGCAATGCTTCAGGGGATGCGAAACTCCCTTGCAGAACAAACAGTCAGTTGTACAATGCCATGGAATCCTTTCTGAGTGCTGCAAGCAATCACTCTATGCCACAAAAGGTGATGTTAGTTGGTCTGATTGCACCAGGAGCATGTGTGTGTGCATAGCTCTTACTGCATTGTAGGTAACAAGTGGGAATCATGCAGGATACTGCTTTCCAAACCCGTGAGTGTGTGGGCTACTCGCTTTGTTTGCAGGATGGAGAGTTATACCTTCCCTTATTTTTAACCTATTCACATACACCAGTGGGTTACCATGCAGGACCATATGTGAAATGAAGACATTGTAGTGAAGGCTGCACATTTCAAGCCCAGCATTGTCACTAGTTGGGAGACATCATAGGCACAGTTTGACGTTTGTGCCTGCAGTTGTACCTGTGGTGGTAGACTGGCTGGGCTTGTGGGACAGCGCAGTGCCCCCCACCCCATCAGGCGTGATGCTGTGGGGCGAGACCACCCCAAGACGCGACAAAGGCCCTCTGGCTGATGTCATAAGGATGCATGCCGCATGCTGACCACGCCAACGTGTCATGGGGGCAGGCCCACATTCTGATGGTACCATGGCAGCCAGGTTTATGCCACACCATAAGGCAACCTCCTCCCACCACTGAGCTGCACCCACGTTGGCAGGACACCGTGGCGTAGAAGACCACCCGAGTCTCTTCAGCCCCCACCCACGGTCACGTGGTGCAATGGCGTGTGGGAGGCAGCGCGAGAACCCACGACGGGGAAAGAACCCCCCACATCCCGCGCACGCGCAGTGCTGTCACTGCCTAGCGAGCCGGCCGCCACCCCCCACATTGCAACGACAGTTGGCGGGGTTGGCGACGAGACAGGGCTCGGAGGCCGAAAACAGTGCCTATAAGGAGGGTGGCCCAAGCGATGCGAGCCAGTACTAATTACCGTGTGGTGTCGACAGTCTGGCACCCCGTGCTTCCGCCGGGAGCCTGAGGGGATGGTGTGATGGTGAACCTAAGCCAATCGGAGACTCAGAGACTGCCGGCCTCCGCCTATCAGGAGTGGCGTGTCTCCGGGGTGGCAGTTGAGGAGCCAATTAGAGGTGGAGATGTTGCCCGCTCCTGTCAAACATTCGCACCCGGTAGGGAGCGATATAGAGATGCATAGTTTGAGTAACCAGCCAATCGAAGGAATGGAGAGGCAAGAGGGTTCATATAGAGCCAATCGGAAGCAAAGAATCTGTTCGCTTCAGCCAATCAGAGGAGCCGGCCCTGTCTTAGGAATTGTGGAGCCGATGGGAAAAGCAGAAATGTGCCCACACGCGCCAATCGGGCGGGGCTGCTGTGCTTGAGCGGCTGATTGTGGCGCTGGCCTCCCAGCGGCAGAGGGCGCAAATACAAGGTGGCCGGTTTTCATCAGCGCAGCTGCTGAGGCAGGAGTGGAGACGGCGCTGTTGTTGTCGTGCTGAGAGCTCGCCGCCGCCGGACCTAGCGAGCAGGTAGGCGGGGGGCTCAGCGAACGGGGAAGCTGGCGGCTAGGTCCCCCACCCGCGTGGGGCAGGCTGTCCGTTGCTCCTCACCGCCCCCGGCGGAGGTGGGGGTGCTCTCGGCCCACTTCCCCCGCCACTCCCTCGTTAGGGAGGCTGCTGTTGCCCCTTCGCCGCAGTGTCGAGGTTTGGTTTATTCCCCCCCGGCAGCCGGGTTACCCTGGTGCCTCCCTCCTCCTCAGCTCGTGTTAATCTTGTGCTTGGCTTGGTGAAGACCCTCGCGGGTGGTTCTACGGGGGGCTCCTGATAGCCCCCTCGCTCGGGGACGGGCGGGGAGGTGTGAACACGCGACAGGCAATGCTAAGTGCCCGTTGCGAAGTACGGGCCGGGACTCTTTGGGTGTGATCCCTCTGTGGTGTGAACGGAGCGTGTGTGGAACCGCTTCCAACCGCTGACAATGCCTGCTGGGGCTGGAGGGCCCCGGTGAGAGTGGGGAGTGGGGAGGGAGGTGCTGGGGGACAGGCCGCCGCAGCCTGTCAACTCTTTCAGCCTAATTGTGACTTGACAGAACTTCAAAAGCCCCTGTCCACTCAGTCTGGCCAGTTTTAAACAACGATTTTCAGTAAGGGCAGGTGTTTCAGCCGCTCCCGAGTATGTCAGCTATTTTTTGTGGTTTTACAACTGCATTTTTCTATGGCTTTTAAAATGGCAGTTTTCTGCCCCTGTTGCTGTGTGATGAGACTGAGAAGAAAAAATAATTGGCAAAGGAGGGAAGGTGACTATAAGAAACTCATTATTCAGAGACTGATTGTACACAAAGTGGTGTCAAATACACCAAGTAGTATTAAAACAGTATTTTAAGTGATTTTCAGGTTCACCCTAAAGAGTAGTAATGAACAGTCACTAGTGTTACACAGTCACAGTTTGTGGTGTGAGTTACCTTTTCCTTTTGTATATGATATTTATTTCCTGTATGTTAAGAATGAATTTGTTTGTTTATAATTGGTATGAATTAATTTCTACAAAGTTTAAGAAAAACACCTTAATATATGCAAAGTGCTATCACATTCACAAATTGAGCAATCAGGAAAAATATAGAGAAATACTTAATCCTTCAGTTATAGCAAATATTATTTGGAAAGTAGTAGGCAAAAACAAAACAAAACAGAAGTGATTTTAAAGTTGATGGTGTCTCTGTAAAGTCACATTGTCAGTTGTAGGCATCAGATTTAATTAACTGTGGTTATCTTGGTGAAACTTCTGTCAATATAGTTTTCTTTATTAATACTTTTTCTATCTAAACAAATATTTTAAGCATCTTTCTTTATTAAAAACAAACCTCAAGCACTACCCCTCTAAAACAGCCTGAACTTCATGGGAGTGAGAAGTAACTTTGCAGTGCTGATATCTTCTGTTCTAAGTTTTCAAGGGGGGGTTAAAATGACAGGGGAAGTGTGACAGCATAAAGGAAAACAAAACATGATTAGTGTCTTGCCTTGTCATAAGTGGGAAGAATCTAAACATGCTGTAACAAAACACTGCTGATAAATAACTTTTAACATCAGTGTATTATTCAGCAGTTGACATTTAGCTGATTTTCTGTTTCACTTACTATATTTATATGTTTTCTCATAAACACAGTTTAATTTAGTTTCAGTTTAACTACGAACTATTGCAAATAAAGTAGGGGAGTTGGGATATTGCAGTTAAGAGGAATTTTATTAAACAACTCGTCATGGCACAGGACAGTTCACTAATGATTTTTTACGACTAACCATAAGTAACTATCTTAAACTTAATCACTGTGTTTAAAACTAGTAAATACAGATTGTATTTTAAATAATGCCATGTGAATTTTTTTTTTCTGCATGAAATGCAGTTTTGATGGGACTGGGAACAGTGGAGACATCCCTGGGTATATGTGGATGAGCTCTCAACCTGGAGCAACTAGGACAGTGTTCCATGTGCTCTCCCTGCTTCCCTCTTCACCTCCCATTTGCTGTCAGTGCTTGTGGGGGGTTGGTTCTCCTCCCCCCCCACCCCCCTTGTGCTGCAAGACGTGGGAAGGGTATCCTGTACTGAATCTGAGCAGTGGGCCTGGCCTGCCCATCACTGATGTTGGTGATGGGGCCTGGTAACGAGGCCAAGTGATTGGCTTATGCCTACAGCAACTGGATGGGGAGAGAGATTGCTACTCTCTGCTGCCTAGGTGAGTAGGCATTTTGGGATCCCAATTTCAGCCCCACTCTGAATTCAGTTGCTTGATCTCTTTTAATGCCAGAGGCTAGGCTGATGGCCAGTTCTGGGATCTAGAAGGGGCTTTTTCTGATATTGCAAAACTGGCAAACTGCCAGCTGGAGGTGGTTTGGGGAGTTTAAATTACAACTGCCACAACTTTGGCAGGTTCCAATGTAATTGGTGGGTTAGAAAGTGTCCACTTGAGGCCCCTTTAACTCAGTGGTTCTGGACACAGCAATGCATTGTAAGGGGATCTGCCTCCATATCTTTTGCAGCTTGTGGCACCATTCATCTTATCACTTCTACCTCTGGCATAGTATAGAGGAGGATAGAGGGTTGGGGCTCAGGCTTTAAATCAGGGTCCCATGGCTGGCCTGAGGACATGGAGTGGGCATGGCCTTGATACCCACTTTAAGGTTTATGACACCCAGGGCCATTGGTGCCAGTGGAGAATGGCACTAGAACAATCCTGCACGGTAGTTTACAGTTTACCCCGAAATCTAGAAAAGCACATACTATTCATTATGATAAGTGTGTGTTCTGAGTTTCAGCTTTCTAGTGTCAGCTGTTTTCACTAGTGGTGCATGGAGGAGAGAGAGAGAGATCATAATAACTGTTTTCACAAAGGGGGAAGGGTAGTGTGTGTAACTGATATGACTGGTTGAAATAAGACCCCCCCCCCAAACCAAGACCCCCAACCAAAACAAAACCCCCCACAGATCTTGGGGTAGACACCAACTATGGAAAGTGTTCAACCTAGAAGATGAATGTTTAAGAATTATAATCACACTTTGTACTTGCTTATAATAGAAATTTTTTTAACCTTTGCAGAAGCAGTCACTAGAGCTCTAATAATCTGAATGAAAACTGTGTCTTTTTAACAATCTTGTTGTTCTTCATCATTGAAACTGAACTACAGGGCAGTACATTTGAAAATAATATCGACAAAATTGTTTCCTAAAATCCACTCCAAAATGAAGAATTTTTAAGTAACGTTCTTATCTTACCAGGTCATGATGTGAAGTTATTTTAGTAAATAATTTATCTTTGTTAGCTACTGCACATGTTAAGCATGGGGCATGCCATATTATATGAAGTCTTTTTTACAGTTCTTTGCTCACCTATGTCAAGATATATGTATATCCATATCCCACAGTGCTCTGCAAAGCTAAGCGTAGCTTTTGGCATTAGCGAATATAAAGCCTGTCAAAGGCAAGATACATTTGTTCTGTGTCCTAGTACAGGTACCGTCACAGTTTAAAATATAGTATCCAAAACAGAGATAAGGAGAGGTACAGAACAGCAAGTTAAGGAACTGATACAAACTGGTGGGTAGGATCTTAGGTGACATATAAAATGCTTTATAACTTGTAAGCAATTGTGCTATAAATATAAGTGGTTGGGGGCATAATTCAAAGCACCCCCACTGTGGAAAGCACTGCAAGAAACGGCTTCCCAGAAGGATTGGTATTTTGTTAACTCTTTCCTTTCTGTATTGTACTGCTTTTTTGGGGCTATGTTTGGTTAATTGATCTCTTAAGCATTCTTAATAACAAACCATATGTGTAGTCAACTGGCTACACTTTTAGACAATATTTTGCAGCATTCTATTCGGGTCTTTGACAGTTTTACCCTTTTCAAACAATCAAAAATTGAGAGGAAGTTAATAAAGATGATAGTCTTATTGTTAGCAACTGTTTTCTATTAATTGAGGTTTTCATTAGCTTGACTTAAATTGACTTTTTTAATGCTACAGTCTGAGGTTGCATACATAGGTCTTAAAGTTTGTGATATGCTAATTCTTGAAACTGGTCAGACCTGCTGAATTCTGGCTATTGCCCCTAAATACAGTTTTTTGCAACTCTAGTGTCTAATGTTTCCATTTTATAATTAATGTTTCTGGCTAACAGTTTTCTTGCTTCAAAGAGTCTTTGTGCTAACCTAATTTGTGACCTTGGGCAAGTCTCTTAACTTCTGTATCAAAGTTTGTTTCCCCATTTTGCAAAGGGGGATAATGATACTTGCCTTCCTTTGTAAAGTGCTCCAGGATCTTTGGATGAGAAGTGCTGTATAGAAAATGTGTGGTGCTGGTTATTGGTTTTGAGTTTTAGTAGTTGATCAAAGTGATCTACTTTCACTGACATCCGTCATATGAATATCAGAGGTGGCTGCCTATTTGGTGATAATGCAGTTCTGTACATTTCATGTGGATGGAGTGTACCTTATTCTCATGATGAATTTCTTTCCTAGATCTTCATGACAGTTTTGTTATTGTTGAGTCCAAATTTCTTGTACCTAAAGAAAAATCTCTGGCACATTCTGGATGTTAGAGCAAGCCTTTAAAATGTTCATTGAGTGCATCAGATATTGCAGAAAATAGAAGAGGCTCCTG